AGTCTTAATGACTCTAAGACTGGTTCTGTATTGACTGTATCATATTAACTTTCTAAATTTGACTTTAAATAAAGATTAGGTATTAGAGATATATTACAAACAACTTAAGTTATTGAAAGTTTTAAAATCCATAGACTCAATGAAGACCCTTAATATAATTTACCTAAGATCAAAGACTTTAGCATTAGAGCAACATTTAGAGATCATTTAATCCAGCCCCCTCATTCTTATAGGAGAATAGTTAGAGGACAAGAGAGATATTGCTCAAGGTCATTCATGTAGTAAGTATTAGCACAGTCAAAATTTGCAACCAGGTCTTCAGACTCCATATCCTGTGTTCTTTCCTTTAAACCAGCAGTTCTCAAACTTTTTGGCCTCAGGACCACTTTAAACTCTTAAATATTATTGAAAACACTGAAGATTTTTTTCTACATGTGGATTATAGCTATTGATAAATTTTTAAATGTCAGTTTATTAATTCATTTAAAATTAGTAGTAATAAATATAAAAATAAATAAAAAAATATATAAAATTAGTAGTAATAAATATAAAAATAAATAAAAAAATAAATATAAAATTAGTAGTAATAAATATAAAAAATATTTATATTAAGATAAATATTTTTATGAAAAATAACTATTTTCCAAAACAAAAAATATTGGAAAGTAGTGACCTTTGTTTTAAAATATTTTTGCAAAGTTCTTTGATGTCTGGCTTAATAGAAGATGGTTGGTTTTTCATCTCTACTTCTACAATTCAGCCTGTTATTGTTCAGTCATTTCAATTGTGTCCAACTCTTCATGACCTCATTTGGGGTTTCCTTGGCAAAGATACTGGAGTAGTTTGCCTTTCTTTTTCGAGCTCATTTTATAGATGAGGAAACTGAGGCAAACAGGGTTAAATAACTTGCCCAGATTCACATAACTAGTAAGTGTCTGAGGCCAGATTTGAACCTAGGAAGATGAGTCGTCTTGAGTCCAGGCCCAGCACGCTTATCTACTGTACCACCTCGCTGCCTCTCAGCCTGCTGTGATATGTTGTTTTGGTTGAAGTATGTAAAAAAAAAAGAAAAAAATAAACCAGCCTCACTCAGATAGTAGTTGGAAGAGGGAAGAGTATCTTAATAGCGTTTTCAGATAATTATTGATCATCTTCTTTGATATTATACTAAAACTCCGCAAGTGATAGTTTCTTAAAGGTTAGTTGTAATGTGGACTCTCAAGCCACATCAATGAATTTTTCATTCTCTGCTATAATGAAATCTATTGATCTATTTTGTACTCCAAATGGGTCTTTAACCCATGCCTGATTTTGTAACATCGTTGGTATTTGGGAAAATATTTGTTCACTAAGTTATGCAGATCTTCCAAATATTGACACGTTTCATTAAACAATATAAAAAATTTCATTTCCTAGTGTAATTTTGTTTCAGTATTAAGATCAGAAAAAAAATTAACATTGGGAAGCTGTCAGGCTCACAGTGGCAGACATAAGTTTTCCAAAATTCTAGTTTTCACTTGAAAGCTCAGATTTTATTATTGGCAACAAATGCTGTCATTTGTTTTCCTTTATGTGACAGACTTACTTTGCTCTTTTTAGAAAAAAAGTCTGTCAAATACTCGTCTGAATAACCATCATTTGTCTCTTAGTTGTTCTTTCAAGTAAAAATGGTGTTCCATGAGCAAACTGGCCGGTTCAGCTTGCAGCTCAACCCCACAAATGCTTTTCCTTAAGACAACCTTAGGCAGTTAAGTGGCACTATGGTGCACACAGTGGTTGGCCTAGAGCCAGGAAAACTCATGATGTTCCTAACTTCAAATCTGGCCTCAGGTACTTACTATTTGCGTGACCCTGGGCAAATTATTTTAACCCTGTTTGCCTCAGTTCCTCATCTGTAAAATGAGCCAGAGAAGGAAATGGCAAATCACTCCAGTATCTTTGCAAAGAAAATCCCAAATGGGATCAGGAGAAGTCGGATACAGTTAAAAAATGACTGAACAGCAAGATAACCCTTCTACTTCAGCATGTAGCAGAAGGCTTTGTATATACTTCTCAATTTGGCACACAGAATATTAAAAAGACATGTACTTAAGATTTAATAAAATGAACAACTTTTATTGTTTCACAAGGACATTATTAAGGGAAACTGGATTTTTTAACAGCAAGTGGTGGTGAAGAATACAATGATTACCAGTAGCCATTTTTTTGAGGCAGCTAGGTGGCATAGTGGATAGAGTACTGGGTCTGGGGTAGGGAAGACATGAGTTCAAATCTGACTTCAGACACTAGCTGCGTGTCCTTGGGCAAGTCACTTAATCCTGTTTGCCTCGGTTTCCTCATCTATAAAATAAGCCAGAGAAGGAAATGACAAACCACTCTAGTATGTTTGTTAAGAAAACCTCAAATGTGGTCACAGAGAGTCAGACTTGATTGAAAACAAGTCATTTGTTTGGTGCCACTGCCTCGATTAATGCTAAGACACCAGCAGTTGTACCTACCATTGCTTTTGTTCCATCAATGCAAACATCAGTACTGTTGTTCTGGGATAAGCCATGAGATTTTTTTAAAAAAAAAGTTATTCAACACCTTGAATATTTCAGTACCACTTCTATGTGTTGTCAAGCATTTCATATAAAAGAAGATCTTCTTTGGTGATGAAATAGTGTTGATACTGGATGGATACAAGCAAAACACTGAGTCTAACCACATCTGTAAATTCATCCATTTGTGAGACAAAAATGCAATTCTACGGATGAGATATTAACACATTCTCCATGTTTGTAGCTAAGTTTTTAATTTACAGGCCATATAGCCTCTGGAAAATTCCACTGTACACTCATGAAAGATGGTGAAAAAGGCAAATAGCATCTTAGTATTATAATGGAAATAGTTTTGACTTCACAGAACCCCTATCGAAAGGGTCTTGGGAACCCCAAAGCATCTATGTACCACACTTTGAGATGGACTGCTTTAAACCATGAAGCTAATCCACTTTGTGTGTTCCACATTGTGTATGTGTATGTCTGTGTGCATATTAATAATAGAATCATCAATGAACACATTCAGGTATGCAAATGCAATTTTAAAAAATAAATGAAAGATATTTGGATTTGGAAGCAGTGAGATATGGGTTGACCTACCTCTATACATTTTAAACCTTAATCTATAAAATGAGATGATTTGATCAGATAAACTTTGCGGTGCTTTCCAGTTCTTATTCTATGATCCTGCACAAAATTGTAAACTTTTATTATTTGTACTTTGTTAAAAAAAATTAAGTGCATATTTACTTTAACAAAATAGTAACACAATCATCCTGTCTTTGTCTTTTTCTGATCTTTTTTCCTTCTATTAATTTTCCCCAGACTTTTTTAGTGTGTTAAATACATAGCTTGTTACATACGCAGTGTGTGTATTGTTTTGTTCCTGCTTTCATGCTTCTGCACCTCTTCATAGATGTCATTCCATATTTCTTTGTATCTATCATAGTTGCCATTTCCTATGACACAGTAATAATCCATGGCATTAATACATCACAATTATTCAGCTATTTCTCAATTGTTAAAGTACACATGAGTTGTTTTCAGGGTCTTTTCTGTTGTTGCTATGATGAATCATGCTACTAGGAATTTTCCTGTATAAATAAACTCTTTTTTGTTGGTAGTTACATACATAGGGTATAGTCCCAGCACTGAATTGGATGACTGGATCTAAAGACATGGATGGTTTTGTAAATAATTTACATTTTCATAATATGTTGTGAAAAGAGTACAGAGTCAGGAAATATCTGGGCTGAACTCTCATTCTAATATTTACTGACTGTGTTATCATAGCTGGTACCTTTCCTTCGAAGGCTACCTTCCATCTACTCTTTTATGTACCAATTTATGTAAGCATTCTCTCTCCCATTAGAATGTAAAGTATGCTTTTGCTTTTTTTGTGTGTACTCAGCTTTTAGCATCTACGCTTAATAAATTTGGGACATTTAGTACATTTAGTATAGTGCTTAATAAATGCTTATTGATTGATCATGGACAAGTCACATCCTTTCTGAATCTTAGATTCTTCATATATCTTTTTTTTTGTGAGGCAATTGGGGTTAAGTGACTTACCCAGAGTCACACAGCTAGTGAATGTTATGTGTCTGAGGCCGGATTTGAACTCAGGTCCTCCTGACTCCAGGGCCAGTGCTTTATCCACTCCACCACCTAGCTTCCACAAAAATAGTATAAGATTTTTTTGTTTGTTTGTTTGTTTGTTTTGGTGAGGCAATCTGGGTTAAGTGACTTGCTCAGGGTCACACAGCTAGTAAGGGTCAAGTGTCTGAGTCCAGATTTAAACTCAGGTCCTCCTGACTCCAAGGCCAGAGCTCTATCCACTGCCCCACTTAGCTGCCCCTTTCATATATCTTATCATGCCTGTCTCACAGTATTGTTGCATTAAATGAGATATTATGTGCAGAATACTTTGGAAACTTAGAGTATAATGTAAGTGTGAACTGTTATAGTTATTGTTGGTAATAATAATGTATTTGAAACCAAATGGTTTCCTATGTATAGTGTGTGGATCTCTCGATCTTTATTATGAAGAGTTCTAATTCTTCCAGACCTAGGGAGAGGATGCTTTCACTTTTTGCTCCTATCTACTTCAATAGAGCAACCTTAATGTATTGTCTTGGACAGAAATATTCTGCTGAGCAGAGCAGGCAGCATTCAGAGCCAGCACAGCTTTTTGGACATTATTGGAAATAGAGACACTGGCATAATGTCCAAATAGAGAACCTGGGATGTTGGTAGGCACTGGGATTTCTTTTGTGTGTTCAACAATTTGCTGCATGTCTTTTGCTGTCTACAAAGAAAAGAACTGGGTTAATCATGCTTCATTATAGTTCATAAAATCTGCTTTGTTGTGTGTTTTGAATGCTGAGCAAAATATGTACAATTTTTCTGTTCCCGGCAGTCTTTGATATCTGAAGTTTTTAATCTGTTTGTTTTGAACAGACATTGGTGCAGCTGATTACCAACACCTTAAGGCATGGAGCAAAACAAAATAAGGCTCCCAATTATGCTGTATTGCTGCTTTGGGCTTCTCTGTCTAATGTTATTCCTGTAAGTACATACATACCTACATATATGTATTAAATAATCATGAATGAATGAACATTTGTTGTTGAAGAAAGAGAAATGTTTCTCCTCGCCCAATCCACTTGACTTTTTACCATCATCTTGCTTTACTTTTCTTCTTACCAACGTTTTTGGTTTATGGCAAAGTCTCCAACAATAAAATCATCTTTTGGTTGCGTAAGTAACAACAAACTATAAGGAAAGAGGGAGAAGGGCATGTGAGGAAGGGCTGGTGGAGAAGGGAAACAGAGTATTCTCCTGTGTTTAATGTGTAAATAGTACTTGCAAAATGCAAGAAACTGATGCTTCTTGACAGAAAAATAACAATGATAACAACAACAATAATCAATAATAACAACTAACATTTAAATATGACTTACTATGTGCCAGGCACTGTGTTGAGCACTTTATAATTATTATTTCATTTAATCTTTATAACAATCCTAGAAAGTAGATGCTATTATTATCCCCATTTTACAGATGAGGAAAGTGAGGCAAACAGAGGTTAAATGATTTGCTTAGGGTCACAAAGCTGGTAAGTAAGGCTGGATTTGAACCCAGGTTTTCCTAACTCCAGGCCCAATGCTTTATCCACTGCACCATCTAGCCAAAAGAGAGGTATATTGGCTAGGTTAGTATAGAAAGAATAGTGCCATAGAGTAGTTAGGAAGCCATTTCTGGAGGATTTCAGCGAAAACTGATCAGTAAAATAAAACAAGGCCTCACAGAGCTGGACGAGAGTTTAGAGGTCACTTGGTTTGTTCAGTTGTTCAGTCATATACAACTCTTCATGACCCCATGGACCATAGCACATCAGGCCCTTCTATCCTCCATTATCTCTCAAAGTCTATCCAATTTCATGTTCCTTGGTTCCATGACACTGTCTGTCAATCTCATCCTCTGCTATCCCCTTTTCTTTTTGCCTTCAATATTTCCCAAAATCAGAGTCTTTTCTAATGAGTCTTGTCTTCTCATATGGCCAAAGTATTTAAGCTTCAGCTTCAGTATTTGACCTTCCAGTGAATGGTCACAGTCACCTAGGGTAGCCCTCTCATTTACAGATGAGAAAACAGGTCTGCACAGGTGCCCAAAGTCACAGAATCACAGAAATGGAGAGTTAGAAGGGACCCAAGCAGCTCTCTACTCCAATCCACATACATAAGAAAGTCTCAATAAAACTTACCAGCCACTGCAAGATGACCTCTAAGAAGGGGGAACACACAAGCTCTTGCAGCAGTCCCTCCCACTTTTGAGGAATTCAATTGTTAGGAAGTGTTTCCTGACATCAAACTCAAATTGGAATTGTGAATTGTTCCAACTATTTTGGAGAGAAATCTGAAATTATGCCCAAAGAGTTATTAAAATGCCCTTTGACCCAGCAAACCACTGTTAGGTTTATTTCCAAAGGTGATTATGGAAAAAAGAAAAGAACCTATATGTTCTAACATGTTTATAGTAGCTCTCTTTGTGGTGACAAAGTACTGGAAATTGCAGGAATACCAGTCAATTGGGGAATGGCTAAACAAGTTGTGGTATATGATTGTGATGGAATACTACTGTGCTGTAAGAAATGATGAACTCAGTAATCTTAGAAAAGCATGGAAAGACTTGCATGAAACAATGAAGATGGAAATGAGCAGAACATTTTATACAGTAACAGCAATATTGTTTTAAGAATGACTTTGAGCAAATAAGTCATTTTGCCTGTTAAGAACATCCAAATTAATTATAAAAAACATGAAGAAACTATTGCATTTAGAGAAGGAACTGATAAAGAGAAGTATATATAGAATAATTTTACATATATATATTCATATTTGTATCTAGTGGTAGCCATCTCCTAGGTATGGGGAGGGAAAAAAAGAAAAATAAATTTACATGATAACTCTATGATATATTTAAAGGGAATAACAATTTGTAAGCAATAGATTTGCAGTCTCAAGTACAATTATCTTTTTTTATTATAATATATTATGGAAATACTTCTTTTATTCCATAAATTAAAAATAAAATAGATAAATGTGAAAAAAAATGGTCTCTTTATAATTTACAGCTATTGCTCCTGGTTCTGTCTTCTGGAGTCAAGCAGAATTAGTCTAATTTTTCCTCCATAGCCTATCCAATAATTGAAGACAGCTAGTAAGTCCCTCCCAAGTCTTTCTTTCTCTACACTTAAATATGCCCAATTCTTTAACCAGTTTTCATATGACAAGTATTCAAGACCCTTCACCATTCTGCTTGTCCTCTAGACACCCTCTAGTTTATCAGTGCCTTTCTTATATTTATGGTGCCAAGAACTGAAAAAAAATCCTGTAGATAAAGAAGTGTGTTAGGAGATTACTATTTGTCTTTCATTCTCAAACAGTACCAATGGCATCAGGAGGGTGATATCTTGACTTGGAAATGAATTGGATTTAAGTGAGGCAGGGCTGTGCAAAGTCATCAGCCTCATTTTCTCCTCCAGAGTCAAATGGTACAGGGAGACTATCACCTTTCTTTTCCTGGAAGCTTAATACAGCTCCAGGTTGTGTTAGTTTTTTGGACTTCCAAATCATGTTAAGCTAGTAGTCCACCAAGATTCCCAGATAGTTTTCACCACAACTGATGTCTAATCATGTCTCCCACTCCTGTTTTATACTTGTGAAGTTTATTTTTTGTTCCATAATCAAAGCTTTACATTTATTCATTTTGAATTTCATTTTATGAGATTTCACCTAAAGCTATAGCATGGGGGTTCTTCACCTGGAGTCCACAAATCTCGGAAAGGTATGTGGATAAATTTCAGGGAGTCTATGAACTCAGATAGCAAAACAAAACAAAAAAAAAACTTTCACTAATGTCTCACTGACACTTACAGTGTAATAATATTCCATTACACTCATATACCGTAATTTGTTCGGCCATTTCTCCATTGATGTGCTCCTTAGTTTCTAGTCCTTAGTTATAATAAAGAGAGCTGATGTAAAGAGTTTTGTACACATATGTCCTTTCCCTCTGTCTGTGGTTTCTTTGGCTATAAGCCTAATAGTGAGATTGCTGGGTCAATGGGTCTACACAGTTTGGTGACTTTTTGAATATAGATCCCCAAATTGCTTTCTAAAGTAGCTGGAGCAGTTCATAACTCTGTCAACAGTTTTCCTGTAGCCCCTCCAACACTTAACATTTTCCTTTTTTTGTCAGCTTGGCCAATTCAATGGATTGTTTCAATGTTCATTTCTCTAATTATTAGTGACTTGGAACATTTTTTCATGTCCTTGTTGAGAGCTGGGATTTCTTCCTCTGTGAACTGCCTATTCATGTCCTTGGCCCATTCCAATGTTCACGTGACCTATCTGTGCCTGACCGATGGCTGAGCCTTTGGAGCTTGTATTGGTCTGATCAGCCACAGTTGGACACACTGTACCTTGACCTCAACGTAGTGATGCCATTTTGACCATCTTCAAGAAGGAAGGATAACAACCAATTCACTTTCTTTAACTATGGGGAATTGCTTTTGTCCTTTAACAACAACAATAACAACTGTCATCATTTGTGTAGCACTTTAAGGTTTGCAAAGGGGTTTACAATTTGTTACCTCATTTGATCCCTACAACAACCCTGTCAGGTTGATACTATTATTATCCCCATTTTACAGATGAGGGAACTGAGACTGAGAGATGCTAAGTGACTTGCCCAGGGTCACACAGCTAAGCATTTATGTTGAGTTTAGATATTTCTGTTTCCAAGTTCAATACTCAGTTCTCTATGTCACCTAGCTGCCTCAAGTCCTTCAGCCTCCATGGGTCTTAGTTTCTTCATTTGTGAAATAAACATGGTACTTTCCAAATCCTCTGCCAACTCTGTAATTCTTATTTTTTTCTAATCTATAAAGTGCATATAAAAGAAAACCCTTAATTATGTTTTTACCAGTTAGCTTAATTATCTATAAAATTGCTTCTGTTTTTTTTTTGTCACTTTGTATAAAAAGGTCCAACTGTTCCCCTTCTTGGAATTCTAAAGAAAAAGAATGGGGAAAAATATTCAGATGTGAGTAAAGCAAAACTCTTCAATGAACATGAAATGAACATAGTAATAATAGCAGTTCTTCCTCTTTTGACCACAGAGGGGAGTACTTGGCTCAATTAAAATTGTATATTTTATCCCCCATAAAGTAATATAAAAAAGAGCAACTCACAATATCATCATCTGAACTTTTTCCAGAGTGATTTCTCATGGAAATGAAAACCACTTCTGCTTTCCTAAATTACCCTTTCAGTCTTCCTTTCTTGAGAAATGTAAAAGACAAAACAAAACACCATTTTTGTTTTATAGCTGATAAAGTTTTCAGAAGGTCTTTTTTTAACATATAGCAAAAAGAGCACTAGACTTAATAGTTAGAAAGGCTGGATTTGAGCCTTGCTCTCTGACTCTTAGGCTAGATAGTTGTAGGCTTAACATAAACTCATAGATTTACAGTTATCTTATGCCTTAGAGGATATCTAGTTCAATTCACACCTGAACAGGAATCTGGACAACATTCCTGACAAGTGGTCATCCACTCCCTACCTGAAGACCTCCCAATGAGTGTAACTCACTAATTTCTGAGATATTTCTGGGCAGTTCTGTTGTTAGGATGTATTTCCTTATATAGAACCAAAATTTGACCCTCTGTATTTTTTGCACAATAGTCATCGTTCTACCTTCTGTGGCCAAGGAAAACAAGTAAAATCCCTCTTTTGTGTAACCCTTTAACTGCTTGAATACAGCAGTCCTGTCCTTCACTCTCAAGGTTTCTTTTCTCCAAACTAAGCACTCCCAGTTGTTTTAACCAGTTCTTGATTATCATATTTTAGTGTCTCCTCATCAATTTGCTTATCTTCTGGATATGATTCTACTTGTCAATGGCCTTTTTAAAATATGATACCTAAAACTGAAAACACTTCAGATATCTTATGATCAAGGGTAATTTCAGTGAGACTATAATCTCCCCTGTTCTGGATTTTTGGGGGGTAAGGAGAGGGATAAAGGGATGGTCCAGACTTATGATTTCATTGGTACAAGAAACTCCCAGACGAGACAATTCTTGGTTCCTGTTCTGCAACTTGTGGTCTTAAAAAAGCGACTTGCCCAGATATTGTTGTTCTTTGTCCTTTATTTTTTTCTTTTTTCTTTTTCTTTCTTTCTTTCTTTCTTTCTTTCTTTCTTTCTTTCTTTCTTTCTTTCTTTCTTTCTTTCTTTCTTTCTTTCTTTCTTTCTTTTTTTTTTTTTTGGCTAGGCAATGGGGTTAAGCAACTTGCCCAGGGTCATATAGCTAGTAAGTGTTATGTGTCTGAGGCCGGATTTGAACTCAGGTCCTCCTGATTGCAGGGCTGGTGTTCTATCTACTGCGCCACCTAGCTGCCCCTGTCCTTCATTTTCAAGAGGACCAATGACATCATGGGGTGGTGTCTTGACTCCTGCGTGAATTGGATTTAAACAAGGCAGAGTTGCACAAAGTCGTCAGCCTCATTCTCCCTTCCATAGTCATCAAAGTCAAGTGGCAGGAGAAAAGTCAGGACGACTGGTACTGGCTGGGGATCCAGTGCATGACCTTGGCATCTTCGATGCCTGACCAAGCTCTAAGCATTCCACACGGCCTGCTTCAGCTGCCTTCATGACCATTGGAACAAATTGTCCTCATCCACCCATTCTGCCAGGGGGAGTCTTCACATGCTTGGAATAGACACCACCCTAACCCACCAACGGGTTTGAGACCTGTCAGTTACCCTCAACCTCACTGAGTCCTTCTGCTGAGACTATTTTACCAGGGTGTGGCTGGTATGCATGCTATGGCTTTTTGGAGCCATAGCTACGAATTGGGTGAATTAGACAGACACCTGAGTATGTAGCCATTATGTTTCAGAGGAAAGACTTAAACACAGATTTTCCCTGTCTCTAAGATCTGCCCTCTATCTGCTGTGTCAAACTGGCTGTCTCATTCTAGATCCTCCAATTCTGTTAATACAACCTATGAGCCCCAAACTTCCATGCCTCTTCCTGGTGTGGGGGTGACCTTGGTTCTTGAAGGCCATGCCAGGAGAACGCATGTTTTGTCAGGTCCTACTAAGCTGGAAAGACTTTGTGTCTGAGCCCAGTGGCAAACCATATTTCTCTTATCTGAGGATCAGCTTAGCTACATTCAGATATGTTTTTAACTTTTCTGAGTTTCAGTTTTTTCATCTGTGAAATGGGGATAATAGTTGTACTATGTCTATCACAGCAGAAAACCATAAGTAAATGTGAGCTATATCTAAATACTATAATAAAGTATATCAATATAAATTAGAACAAAGTATTATATGATGTTATAAATTATATAAATTATAACAAAGATTATAAGAAAGTATATCAACATAAGATGCTAGTATTTTATCAAGGAAGAAGTTACAGTTGACATTAAATTCAAGACAGGTAATCTTTCCAATTACAACAGTATCCTGCTCTGATGGTCATATTTTTGGACAAATTTTTAGAAATTCCATTTTCAGGTCTTAAAAATTAGTACAGTTTCTAAAGTATTATATTAAAATATGTTTATGGTATCTAAAATATAATGTGGTTGGCTAATTGTGTCTATATACTGCATTTAAGCCTTGAAAAATAAGGGTTTTTTTTTCCCTTTCAGAGTATGTGTTAGATAACATATGTCTTATGATTTTCTATTTTTGAATGTGTAAGTTGTGGCTATACTGTTAGGAGACTGATTACAGCTCATAGGATTTAAAGATGAAAGGGACCTTAGATACCATCTGGTTCAACTTTCTTACTTAACAGAAGACGAAATAGATGTAGAGGTTCAAGTGACTTGACTAAGGTCACACAAGGAGTAAGTAAGTAGAAGAGTCCAGAATCTGAATCCATGTTCTGTGACCCTAACTCTCCTGCTCTTTCCTTTCTACCATTATATGAATTTCTTTCATGCCTTGTGGAAGCCAGTCTTATTATTTCATAGTTACACACTGTATTGATACAGTGGTACAGTGGATAAAAAGCTGGGCCTGAAGTCAGGAAGACCTGGGTTCAAATGTGAATTTATACATCCACTACCTTTATGACCCTAGGCAAGTCACTTAACCTCTATTTGCCACAGTTTTCTCAACTATAAAATGATTATAGTAATAATAGCAGTTTCCATGCTGCATATTAAATCCTCTCCACCCCACCCTGGAGCCATTACAATTTCAGTTTTTAATCTACTTTTTTTTTTCTTTTGAAGGTTGTATATTGGACTGTTGTTTATGTTCTTTATAACCCTTCTGTTTACGAGAATATTATGGAAGGCATATCTTCTGTGTTTGGTGAAGCAGGTACAAAACCATAACTAAATAACAATCAAAGACTTGGTGGTGGAGGTGGTGATGGTGGTGTCTTTATCTTATTTTTTAAGTTTCATATGCCATTTTGTTTTGTCACAAGAAGCACAACCCAGAAAACCCCTGAACAACTGGGGGCAGTATGGCATAGCAGAAAGAGGTCTGGACCTAAGAGGGTAGATGTTTAAGGGCTACCTCTGAAGCTTTCTACTTGTGTAACTCTGGGGAAGTCACTCTCTTCTGTGCCTCCATGTCTTCATTTATAAAATGAAGGCATTAGATGGCCTTTGAGGTCCCTTCTGGTTCCAGCTGTATCATCCCGTGACTATTGTCCCCAGAATATTACCTGAGAGCTTATTACAATTGATAGAACTTGTCACTCTGCCTTTCAGTCCATTGACGGTTAACAAAAGGGAAAGATAGTTGGTTTAACTTTTCTAATGTGATATCATCTATCATTCTTTATGTGAGTTTTGTTGCCTCTTAGTATATAATCCTTATTTACAATTTACATTATTGTAGCCATAATGGGTAAATTGTTTCTTTATCTCTGCTTTTTACCCTCTGCTTTACTGTAAACAGGTCTTCCGTATTTCTCTGAATTCTTCGTATTTTTTAGTTCATATGACACAATGATATCCCATTATTGAAGACCTATTTTTATAAACTATACAATCAAATGAGATATATTGGTAAAGCACTTAGCACAGTGCTTGGCACATAGCAGGCACTATCTTTATACTTATTCCCTTCCCTTTCCCCTTTCTCCCTTAAGGGTGCCTTTCACTTTTGGTAAATCTGCATGCTGAAAATGTTACTTAAAATTCCTTATGCCTTTCTCCACAAATTTCCTGAAAAAAAAATAGTTTTCAGTACTTAAGTCATAAAATAATATCTGTTTCAGATTGCAAATTGACCTAGTTCAGTTATTGTTTTGTATTCTCTTGCCTGAAATTAGGGCCTGAGAAAATCTCCTTTCTTTACATGGCCATGGTATGTGAGACGGGTCCAGGGTTGGGCACAGTTGCCATTATATCAGTTTAAGAAAAAATATTTTAAGTTTAAAAGATCAATTTCTATGCTCATGTATGTAGTAAATGAGCATTGTTCAGTTCACATTTGAAATAAAAAAATAACTTATGCTATGAAAAAGATATACTACAAAGAGAAAAGTGACAGCCCCAATTAATCCTGAAAGAATTTCATTTGGATTATCTTTTTAAGATTTTTTTATTCATTTCTATTCATTAACAGTAAGAATTTATTAACATTGATTGAACTGGCCTTCTTGTTCCTCTACACAAAGCTCCATGTGCCGGGTATAGGCAGTTCCCTTGGCGGTTTCCCATGTAGGGAATATGCTCCCTCCCCCTGCCCTGCACCTCCCAGAATTCCTTGTTTCCTTCAATACTCTTCTGGTGACAGTTGACCTGAAACCTTTGTTGCTTCCCCCTCTTATTTACCTTGTATTTATTTTTATGCTTTTTGTGTACATTTATTTATGCCTATGCTGTGTTCCCCAATAGAGTGGAAGCTCCTTGACGGCGTGGGCATTTTCCCTTCTGTCTTTGTATCCCCAGTACATCTGTGCCTGACACAGAACCTATACTTAATAATGGCCTGCTGATTAAATATGTGTTACTTTGCCAGATAACACTTAATTAGAGCCTGGAGATTCAAAGATAGCAATGAAGCAGTCCCTGACCTAAATGATCTTACATTCCACTGTGGGAAACAACATGTATGTACACCTGTAAATATACACAAAATAGATACAGAGAACAAGGCAATTTGGAGGGGAGGCATTACTGTTGGAATGATTAGAGGTAGCATTTGAGCTGAGCTTTGAAGGGAGCTAGAAATTCTAAAGAGGCAAAAGGAGGGCATTCCAAGCATGGAATGTACAGCCTGTACAAAGGCGTGGAGATGGGAGATGGAAGAGGATCATGATTTATCAGGATCAACTGAAAAGGGAAGTGATGAGATGGTCTCTAAGGTCCATTCTTATAGTCTAGAGTTAACCTAAGGACTTAGGGCAGAAAGGGATCTTATAGATCAAGTTGTGCCCACTTGTTTGATTTAAGAGGAAATTGATGCCTAGAAAGCAGAAGTGATTTGCCCAAGATCATACTGGAAGTAATTAGTAGTCATAATTCAAATACAGGTCTTCTATATTGTCAAGTCCAGGTTGCTTTCCATTACATCACAGACTAGAGGTTGAAACAAGTGTACAGTCATTGGGATAGAGGATATAAACATTTTAGGTTGAATTGGATGATGATATTTCTTCTGAATGAATGAAAAAAACTTTTAAAGCATTTATTAAGTACCTTTTGTATGCCCAGCACTATGCTAAGCCCTGGCAGTATAAATATAGTGGTGAGTCAGTTCAATCCCCCAGTCCCTACTGGGCCAGGGGGAAAAAAAATTGGTCTAGGAGTTACAGTGATAGTGAAGGGAGCTGTAGGACAATCAATTGACGTATTACTACAATGATAATACCCATTTGATAATTGTTCCCAGAGCAAGAAGTAGAAAGATGCAGTAGGGTGGAATGTTCATGATGAATGGCTGATTGGGATTTGAAGATGGGTCTGAGATCATGTAGATTTAATAGGTTTAGATGAGTTTTCATTTGCTAATCTAGCAATATAGACTGCTTTAAGGTTATAAAGCACGTCGTGTATGTTATCTCATTTTTCTCATACAAATCATGGTTGAGTTCAGGAGATGGCTGAAGTCCTATTTTCATAAGATAAGAATGAGAAGGACTGCCAGGAATTCTTGACCCTATCCCACACCGCACAACTATAGGAGGACTACAAGAACTATATTCTTTTTTAAACTTTTTTTATTGTAAAATGAATAGTCATTAACAAACACAGACACTCCGAAACACAAATAACAAAGCATAAGAAAACATGAATTTCTGCTGCTTAGTTTTTTAAATCTGATATCTTCATATTTTATTTTTTCAACTTTATTTTTATTTTTAATAATATTTTATTTTTTCCCAATTATATGTCAAGATGATTTTTAGTGTTCATTTTTACAAAATTTTGAGTTCCAGATCTTTCTCCCTCCCTCTCTCCCTTCCCCTCTTCCGAAAATGGTAGGCAATTTGATATAGATAATATATATGCAATTATGTAAAACATATTTCCATATTAGTCACAGTTGTGAAAGAAGAAACAGATCAAAAAGAAAAAAAAACACAAAAAGTAAGTGAAAAAAGTATGCTTCGATCTGCATTCAGAGTACATCAGTTCTTTATTGGGATGTCGATAGCATTTTCCATTATGGGTCCTTTAGGTACTTGTCTTGAGCATTGTATTGCTGAGAAGAGCTAAGTCATTCGTAGTTGATCATCATACAATGCTGCTGATACTATGTTCAATGTTCTCCTGGTTCTACTCATTTCACTTTCACTTCTTATTGCAAAATAGTATTCTATTACATTCACATGCCACAACTTGTTCAGTCATTCCCCAATTGATGGGCATCCCCTCAATTTCCAATATTTTGCCATCACCAAAAGGGCACTACAAGAACCTTAAAGAGATGCAGCCCTCAACCATGGGGGGAAATTCTGGTTCTTGCTCATATATTGTAGAGCTCTGAGGGGGAAAAAAACCCAGAAATTTGAGAAATATTTCTCTCTCTTCTGATTGGTTTTCTGAATCTTATTCTTGTCATCAAAAGAGGGAAAATAGAAAATAATGCTACCTCTAAAAACCAGTGCAAATATAAGAACTTTATTATTGTCTTTCAGTAAGTACATCTACAATTGTGGAACTAGAGATTAATTTCTAATAAGTTCTAAATACTTTTATCCCTTCAATTATTTGATCATAGAATCATAAGGTTGATAAAAAGGTTCAGATAAATTCCTAGATGGTAGATCTGAACCAGATTTTTCAGGGAAATTAAAATGGCTGTGGTTATCCTACCTTCTTGAGATAACAATGTGAACAATAAGTGAAGTGCCAGTATCAGAGGCAAAATATGAGATGGGACAGACTGTATGACTGAACTGATATGTTAGTTCTTAACTTGCCCAAGGTCACATAGCTAGTGTCAAGTGTTTGGTCTGAGGCCAGATTTGAACTCAGGTCCTCCTGACTTCAGGGCTGGTGCCCTATCCATTGTGCCACCTAGATGCCCCAGTTCTTCATTTCTTAGGCTACGTTTATCAAATAACTAGGTTTTCAAATTCTTAGCTGTCATCTTGGGTGGAAAAATTCTTGTTGAATTTATGATATATATACTTACCTATGTATGTGTAGATATGCATATCTACATATATGTATATATCAACACATGTAATAGTTTGTGTGTATATATACACACACACATCACTCCTGAAATTTCCTATGGTTAGAAATTGTTCGGTATGCAGTTGGCTTCGCTATAAGATGTTAAACATTCAGTTTGGATTTAATGAGTTATTCTCTTTGAATTCTACTATCTACTTTTTGGTAGATTAAAGAATAAGATTATTTTAAAAATATTTCTTTGTTAAGCATATTAAAGTAAAAGTGCACTTTATCTTCCTGATGGACATATATTCCTACTAATCTGAGCAGTGAATATTGGTAAATTATTTTTAAGGCTGACATTTACATTTACTGGAGCCATGAATGTACAACTTTTTTTTTTTTTTAAAAAGGTAGCAGGATTAAAAGTATTCAGCGAATGTTAAATAAACAAAAGCAATTCACTTTTCATAACCCTTCCTTGGGAAGATATTCTAGTTAGTGAATTATGTGGATATTTGTATATAGGCTTGTATGCCTTAGCAGATGGACCTAAGGTAGTGAATATAGGGAAAATCCCTTGGGGGCTGCAGAAGCCATAACAATACTTCTCCTTCAGAGCTGTTGACAGGACAGTTAAGGTAAACACTAGTCTTGGCTGAATGTATATCTTCTATTAAATCATCCTCTAGCTTGAGATTTCTGGAAGCTACAATGGTTCAGAACCACAAGAGTTGT